ACGCATACAGGGCAGATGTTCAGATCTGTATGTACGAACTTGTAGGGGGTACTTGTACAAGTACTTGTACAATCAATGCGAGAATCTTGCGGAAATGTCAATGATATACGAGTAATTTCACCTGTAGCTACTTGCACTTGCGCTTACGTACACACATCAACCATACCATCATCTTATTACCAGTCTATGTACAACTCCATTATCCTCCATGCACCCTACGCCTTAGGACCGATCTTGAAGCAAAGAACGTCGTTCTTGCCAACATCGACAGTGTCCTCCTCGCCGACTCGCGCTCCTCCCACGCCCTCGATGGCCGTGATGGGCAGATCTCCCATGATCTTTCGCACCACCGAGGCCACAGTCGAGCCTCGTCGCACCAGAGTGCAGTCTCGGAAGACCTGGGCGCCTCCAAAGTTGTTAATGTTCTTGACGGGGTAGACGGGCACGAGCTCGAGGATGTTTGCGGCCGCCTGGAGAATCTGGACGAGGCCAGTGGAGCCAAATCGGTACAGCACCAGGTCCCGCACGTTCTCGACTCGCTCCTTGAGCTTGTCGTCCAGGGGCTTGAGACCGGCGTCTGGCAGGTCTTCGGCTGTGTCGAGGAACTCGGTGCCCTCCTCGTACTGCACGTAGCCCTGCTTGGCGAGCTTTCGGATGAAAACCTCGGAGATGGCAGACGTCAGAACGGAAGGAACATCAGGGTGTCGCTTCATGATCTTGGACACGTTCATGTCGGCGTCGGGGTGGTCCATCTTGTTGAGCGCCAGCACGGTGGGAAACTTCTCCCTGGTGAAGGCCCGCACGACCTCGGAGATCTTATCGTCGTCCCATTCCTCCAGGGGCGGCAGCGTCAGCTTGTCGATGGCCCGGTGCACAATGTCCTTATTCGAGCCGTAGCCGGAGAACTGGTTCTGCAGCGTGTCGACCACATGGCTCTTGGTGGACGTGTGCCGTCGCACAATCGAGCCCCACTTCTCCTTGAGGTTGCCCTCGATCCACCGGAAGATCTCGTCCTGCAGCCACTCGATGTCGTTGACGGGGTCGTAGCCGCGCGTGTTCTTGCCCTCGGCGTCGGTCGTGCCGGAGACGTCCACCACATGGATCAGGGCGTCGGCATGTCGCAAATCATCCAGGAACTTGTTGCCCAGACCTCGGCCCTGGTGAGCTCCGGGAACAAGACCAGCCACGTCGAGCAGCATGATAGGGACGAAACGCCGGCCGTCCTTGCACGTGCCGTAGTTGGGCTTGCACTTGTCCTGGACCTTGAACCGCGCACAGGCACAATCTATTTGCAGGTAGCCGGTCGCCTTGTTGGGGTCGATGGTTGTGAAGGGGAAAGAGCCCGTTTTGGCGGTCGCATCGGTCAGCGAGTTGAGCGTGGTCGATTTGCCACTGCTGGGCTTGCCCACGATACCGATAAGCGGGTCTCGAGCCATCTTGATGAGTGAGTGAGTGAGAGTGAGAATGTATGCGATGCTGAAGTTAAACTGTGGAAGTTGGAGCAGTATGGTATAGGACAAGAAGGCTGTTGGAGAAAGAAGAGCGATAAGTTTCTTGTTCAGCTACAGCTCAGGGTACTATCAAAATTTCAGCTCTACATGGCTGCTTTGGTGAAATTTTCACTTCTTATCGGAACTTATTACTCAGCTGAAAAAGTTCTTTGCTAAGCGAGATCAGTCGGAGAGGCTGCAAAGCACTTGAAAAATCGCTGAAAAATCTGAAAAATCTGAAAAATCGTTCTGTACGAATAAGGGGATTACTACAAGTATGGACAGTAAAAGACTGCAAGTTCAGCTACTGTACTTGTAAATCAACAATACGGCAGGATCTTGACATCTCCTGTTCATTAGAAGAATGTATGTACTTGTACAGAAACTACAGAGGGTCCGCATCTCGAGCTTTGCTCTCGACACTCGGAAACATGACCGCATCTCGAGCTTTGCTCTCGACACTCTCGACTCTCGACTACAAGACTACAGCAGGTCCGTATCTCGAGCTTCGCTCTCGATACTCAGCCTAGGATCCATATCATACAATGTATTTTAGTATTTTTGCGCAGCGACACTCAAGAAACTTAAGAAGACTGCATGATCTGCCAGACTCGGATGACGTTGTCAGTGTAACCAGCAAAGAGGTTCTGGCCGTCAGCGGACCAGGTGAGGGACAGAGCCTCGGGCTCCTTTCCGTCCTCGGAGGTGGTCTGGGTCTTGAGCTCGTCAATGAGGACTCGCTTCTCCAGGTCGAAGACCTTGATGGAGGAGGAGGTGGCAGCGCAGAGCCAGTATCGGTTGGGGGAGAAGCACACGGCGTGGACCTCATCACCAGCGGGGAGGGTGTAGAGGGCGGTGGAGGAGGTCAGATCCCACAGGAGGATAGAGCCGTCCTTGCCGGCGGAAGCGCACAGGGATCCGTCGGGGGAAATGGTGATGGTGGAGACGTATCCGGTGTGGCCGAGGTGGTCAGCCTTGAGGGTGCAGGTGTCGAGGTCCCAGACCTGGGTTAGTAAGTTGTTTTTGGAGTGGAAAAGCACTCGCCAGTCAGCAAACAGTATCAGATAATATGGATTTTTGTCTCATAGCCTTTCGGGCTCTGAAGTAGCAAATATTCATGTTTTTCCGTTAAATCATCACATAGCGTTTGATGGAGACGTGGAGAACTGCTAGTAGTTAGTGTAAAGTCGTCGATACTCACCTTGACCTTCTTGTCCCAGCCAGCAGAGATGATGGTGTTGGCGTTGGGGGAGGGCTCCTCCTCGTCCTTGGTGGCGGGGTTGAATCGGACGGTGGAAACCCAGTCCTCGTGGCCCTTGTCGGTGATGGTGTACTTGCACTCGCCGATGGTGTTCCAGATCTTGATGGTTCGGTCTCGGCCGGCAGAAACAATCTGTCGGTTGTCGGGGGAGAAAGAGACGGACAGAACGTCACCAGTGTGGCCGACAAATCGGTCCTTGGAGACACCAGTCTTCAGGTCCCAGACTCGCAGAGTCTTGTCCCAAGAGCCGGAGATGGCGTAGGCACCGTCGTGAGAGATGGCACAGTCCTGGACAATGTGGGAGTGGCCCTTAAGAGACTTTCGGGGGACACCGTAGTTGGTGTCGTCTCGGGTAAGGGACCAGACAATCAGAGACTTGTCTCGAGAACCGGACAGCAGAATGTCGGGGTTGTTGGAAGAAGTAGCGAGGGAGGTAACCCAGCCGTTGTGGCCTGTGTTAGTATGGATCAGAGGTTCATCAGAGGTCCAAATCAAGTCGAAAAGTCCAGTCGAAAGGTGCCAATTGTTGTCGATTTGTGCCCGTAGTCGTGTCGGTACTCACCCTCAAGGGTTCCTCGGAGAACAAGAAGAACGTTCTGGCTCATGTTGTATTATGCTAACTGGAACGTGAGAAATTTCCTGCGCGCAGTTGAAAATGACAAGATATCAAGGGCGCGGTGAAGAAGCTGCGTGAGTGGGTTGCACTTTAGAGTTTGTGACGGCCTTTTCGAAAACGGAAGTGCATCACGTGATGAACTTCTCCTGAGTTCGATCCCCCAAACCCACCTTCCTCACCTGCATTCGAAACGCATCTGGCGAGGTGGTGGGTGCCTGGACGTCACTGAGACACGCCTTGCGAGCACTTCAAGGCGGTTTTCCGTCACATTCTACGCCTCGTCGGGTGTGTTGACTGTCTGTGCGACCCTAAGTAATGTATCACTAATATGCATGTCTTTTAGTAAGGCATGACTGAACTACTGTTTGTTCTCATACAACAAGCCTGAACTAGAATCTACGAGAACAGCGCTGGACCTTCCGTTCTTGCACTTTGCCAATCATCAAGGAAGCTGTACTTGTAGTGTATGGGTAGTCTCTGCTGCTTTCGGAGTAGCTATTATTAGTTCTCTGGGATCCACCGATCTAGTGGAAGAAGGGACGATAGATGTGTTCAGATTACAACTACAGTAAATGGGTATTACGTGCTTGTTGAATGCTTCATACGCGTGCGATATTCTTACACAAAAACTACAGGTCATTGTGCAAATGCCAACCTCGTATCTGCAAGATCGAGTGATGTTTCTACAATCTACCAGTAACCATAGGTCTGTAAAACTAAGCTGAAAGCTGACTACTTGTACTTGTCCAACCTGTGACACAGCTGAACATGCTAACGAAGATTCCAACACCACACAACATCGCATACAATACCAAACCGTCCAGACACACCACTCCAAACCATGCTATCCTGTTAATTACATCCTAAACGTCCTTCATCTCCTTGTCCTTGTCCTCCTCGCCCAACATGCCCTTAATCTGGTTAATAATCTTGTCGTAGTTCTCCAACGACGTCCACTGCGCCTTGGTATCGGTGTTAATAGGCAGCACCTTGTCGCGGCTGAAGTCGTTGAGCCGCTTGATCTCCTTTCGCAGCGTCGTCGACACCTCCTCTAGCGACTGTAGGAACTCGATCGAGTTGACCTTGAATGCAGATTTGAGACTGGGCAGTCCCTGTTGAATGCCAGGCTCCCAGCCCTTGTCGCCCTCCTTCAGCTCGAAGCTGTTGATGTCCAGCTCCGATCTGGGAATGAGTAGGTCGATTGCGTTCGACAGCGTCTCAGTCATCTCGGCAATCTTCATGTCCGTTTTGTGTAGCGATTCCAAACGCTCGGATACCTCGTCCTGACCCATTGGCAGTGTTGCCAGATCTGTCGCATGGCTGTCGTCTATCGTCAGAGCTCCAGGAGCCTTTGTTTCCGTCACAATCTCCATGGACTCATCGCCGACCGCAATGGGCTCCTCCTTCTTTCCTTGATCGGCCGTAGACATGTGTTTCGAGTGGTGATGTTGATGCAGTGTTGGAGTCTAAGTTTGGAGGTGGATGCTGGAATAATAACAGGATGGAGACACGCTAAGTGGAGCTAAAACGAAGGGCAGTAAGTTTTGTTGAATTCACGAGAAAAAAAAGAGCAGGATCGTCAGGGCTAGAGCTCACATAGTGCCAGCGACAAAAAGGAAAAATAAAAAGGAATTGCCATCACCCAGAATCGAACTGAGGTTTCCACGGCCACAACGTGGTGTACTAACCACTATACTATGATGGCGGGGCGTTAAGTTTGAGGAAAACGTGGCCACTGCTATCAAAATTCTGTCAAAAAATTCGCCGTTTTTTAAACCGTGATTTCTCAACATCTGGAGTAGGTGAAGAGACAAAACTTATTTGGGTATTGATAATGGCGTCTGAACTTTCATTTGAACTTGTTTTCAACGTAACATTCACTCTGGTTCCTGTGTTATATGGCGTTGAGCGAAAGGCCCTCCGTGGACACATGCTAGAATGTGTGTCATCGGCAATTTGGGATGGAAACAACTCCAAAACTTGAGATCTGTAATTGAGATGGTAACAAGGTGCTAAATAATCTCTAGAATGACATATGAGCACAGCTAACTGACGTAGCTTCTACCTATGCGACTTCTCTTCGTAAACAACGAACAACCATTCAAAGAATCAAGTTACCTAGATCTGCGAGGTTTGAGCCAGAAGAACGAGCAGAAAGAGCATATCGATACTACAGCTTCAACACACTCACAACTAACTCATATACTCACCAATACCACGCGCGTCCGTATCGCAGCAGAGATCTACAACAGTACATACAATCTATGCATCGCGTACCTCAACTCCATACACAAGTTGAAGCATACTTATGCTAACTACACCACTCAGATCAATTCTGTTGAAGGGAGTTGGACTCCAATGTATTCATAAATAAAAGCCTTTTGGCCGTGTCTGTTGAAGGATGCGAAGTACTGGCTTACTTCTGGGGAGCGGTTCGCAGAAAGTGGGTGGGGCACTGGTATCCGCCAGGCTCCTTGAAGAGGTACTCCTGGTGGTAGTCCTCGGCGTCCCACCAGTTGGCGATGGGCTCAATGTCTGTGGCAATGGGCTCCTTGTACCACGACTCCTGCAGCTTCTGCTTGACGGCCTCGGCGGTCTTCTGCTGCTCGGGCGAGTGTGTGAAGATGGCGGATCGGTACTGCGAGCCAATGTCGTTGCCCTGGCCATTGGCCTGCGTGGGGTCGTGGATCTTGAAGAAGAAGTCCACCAGCGTCTCGTAGGAGACCTTGGAGGGCTCGAAGGACACCTGGAGAGCCTCGGCGTGGCCGGTAGTGCCGGAGCACACCTTTCTGTAGGTCGGGTCGTCGCTCTCGCCGCCGGAGTAGCCGACCTTGGCGTCAATCAGACCCTTGTCGGCAAAGTGCTTGCGGTAGATGTGCTCGACGCCCCAGAAGCAGCCTGCGGCGACGGTGAGCAGCTCGGAGGTGGGGGTGGTCTTGAGAGTGGGCGACTGGGTGGGCATTGCGGCTTTGGCGGAGGAGAACTGGCGGAGCAGAAGAGAGGACCTAAGCATGGGCGAAAAATGTATCGCGTCTAAAGGTAAGTTTGCAGGATGTACGAGACCTGCAGAGTCCGTTGCTAAACTAATGTCCGGAGAGCTTACTTGTCAGCTGTGCTTGCCAACGGTCAAACGGCTCGCTAGTCGTGGTGCAAGGGCACGTGACCATATGTTGTGCCAGCGCGTGCAGTTCTGGCTATATTTCCGTCTCATATAATTCGTACAAGTACATACATCTTCAATACCCGCCAACCTCGTGGCTTGGTGGCAAATAAGGTGTGTGTGGATTTGTCATTGTGCGGCCTGTTTCGCAATCTCGGCTTTTACGCATCGGTTTTTGCAGTTCCAACTACCCCAGCCCCGAGTAGCTGAACCTGCGGTTTGCGCCACTGGCTTCCCTCCTCAGCCTAAAGACCAAGTAGCGTGCATGCTGGGAGCGTCTCGGAACTGGACCCACTGAACCGAGTCAGACTCAGGCAGGATATCTGCACCATCCACTATCTCCCCAACCGAAACCATGGCCATCTCCCCCTCCCCCATTGCCGCGCTGGCGTTCGAGGCGCTGTGGGCCAAGCTAAACAAGACGGCGCCCCGACCCCTGTCGTACTTTGCCGACAAGCTGTCGACCGACATCAAGCCGTTCGAGAACCACAAGTTCCCGCTGTTTGTGACCTGGAACACGGTCGAGGCCGGCGAACACGAGCTGCGCGGGTGCATCGGCACGTTTGCGCCCCTGGAGCTTGAGAAGGGCCTCGCGCGGTTCGCCATCGAGAGCGGCTTCCACGATACCCGCTTCGCGCCCATCTCCAAGGCCGAGCTGCCCCAGCTGCAGTGCGAGGTGACGCTGCTGTCCAACTTCACGCAGGCCGACGACATGTGGGACTGGACGGTCGGCGAGCACGGCATCCGCATCGCGTTCGACTACCGCGGCTCGGACTACGGAGCCACCTTTCTGCCGCACGTGGCGTCGGAGTACAACTGGACGCAGCGACAGACGCTGGAGCAGCTGGTGCGAAAGGCGGGAGCTCGGGCCAAGCTCGAGGATCTGGACATTGAGCTGACGCGGTACGACGGCAAGGTCTACTCCATTGACTGGGAGCAGTACAAGAATCTCTAACTAACTCGGGTCTCCTTTATTTATATCTTTTCATTGGCTACATCCGTACAAGGAAGCTGGCACATCTCTATAGAAGGAATTGACTCTTATTGTACGGAATACGGAGTACGAGTAGCTACTGTACTTGCACAGTACCGGTAGACTACAGTATCAATCATATCTTCTTTCTTCTTCTACATCTTCAATATTTTGAAATTATTTGACTAAAAAAGCCGAAAATTCCCATGAAGGAAGGGATCAAGGGTAGACCAGCTCCTCAAGAAGCACCCCGGCAACTTGTGGTAGCTTGATGTGTCTCTAAGGGCACTGTCGAATTCCCTCAACGAGTTCAACCTGAAGTATGTACCAATCTAGAACTAGCATACCGGTATGTACTTTCTACTACAATGAAGCAAACAACTTCGAAGTACAAGTACAAGACCACATCCTCTATCATTATTCATTTATCGTCTATTATACAATAAGCTATGGTTAGTATTTATCTTTTATGCTGATCCTCTCCTACTTGGCCTGGTAGCCGCCCTTGAACACGGACTGGATCTCGCCAGCAGCGTTCAGAACCACCAGGTCAGCATCGCAGCCAGGGCGCAGGTAGCCCTTGTGGGTCACGCCAATCGCGCGCGCAGGGTTCGCAGTCACCGTCTGCAGAGCCTTGGCCAGAGGAATCTGGGCCCAGTGCACGAGGTTTCGAATGCACTCGTCGAGGGTGGTGGCAGCTCCGGCAATGGTCTTGGTGCCCTTGAGCGTGAGAATGCCGCCCCGCTTCTCGATCTCCTGGTTGCCCCAGGGGTGGATGCCGTTCTCCAGACCCATGGCGAACATGGCGTCCGTCACCAGGAAGCACTTCTCGGGGTTGGTGTGGTAGGCAATGGCAACGTAGGAGGGGTGGACGTGGATACCGTCAACGACAAGTCCATACGAAGGCTGCTGGCACTCGTGCGTCTTAATGAGCCCAAAGAGGCCGGCCTCTCGGTGGTGGGGCTGCAGCATGGCGTTGTAGAGATGGGTGATCATGGAGGCGCCTCCCAGAGCAGCCTCCTTGGCGTGGACGTACGAGCAGGTTGTGTGGCCGATGGAGATGGTCATGTGCGGGTTCTCCTGCTTCAGCTGGGGGATGCACTTCTGCATGTTGGGCAGCTCGGGGGCCAGGGTGATGACTCGCACGTGCTGGAGGTTCTCCTTGGAGCCGTATGTCTCGTACATGTGTTCCACGGACTGGGGCGTCTGCAGGGCGTCCTGGGGGTGGCAGCCGGGCTTCTGGGGCGAGATGAAGGGGCCCTCGACGTGGATACCAATGTTGTCGGCTCCCTGGGAGGAGTTGGGGGCCAGCAGAGGCAGAACGTGCTTGTAGACGTGAGCGTAGGTGGAGGGCAGAGTGGGGCAGTAGGCGGTGGTGCCGGTCATGAGAAGCGTCTTCTCCATCTCGAGGATGCCGGCCTTGTACTCCTCGGCGCTCTCGGGGATCTTGGAGAAGTCGAAGCCGAAGGCTCCGTTGATCTGGAGGTCCAGGAAGCCTGGCGACAGGTAGCAGCCCTCGAGGTCGATGACGCGGGGAGACTGCTGCTCGTCGGGGGCAACAATCTGGCCGAGGTCCAGATCGACCCACAGGTCCTGGGCGTACTCCTGGCCGTCGTCAACGAGAATGCAGTTGGTGAAGCGGACCAGGTTAGGCGAGTACGAGGACCGGGAGGACATGGAGTCGAAGGAAAAAGAGGCGGGGGAAGACATGGTAGCTTGGTGGGTGCTCTTTCTGTGGAGAAAGAAGAGAGAAGAAGCAGCAGCAGGCGCCCGCCATGGCTATTCTTTTATATAGCGTGGGCTCATGGTCCAGGCAAACTTTGGCCGTGCTTCTCAAACGCACATTAACCTTGCCCGATCTTCAGCTACAGAGCGCTATCGTGCAGCTCACCCATGCTCCCAAATGTAACGTCACAGGGTTACATTGGATCCTGTGCAACGTGCGGGGCTACGGAGAGACCTGATAACAAGCCGATATGATAAGACGGTAATATGTGGCTCCCCGGAGCCCTGCGACGCCAGAATACGGGGTAATAATATCCTGGCGCCGTTATTCTGCGAGGGTCTCGGCCACGCCGTGTTTTTTCAACGTCCCACGGCATATCGCTATCAGACGAGATCTAGATTCCGGCATGCAAAGTCTCACTAATACGCCCAGATACGCTAAGCAGCACATTCCCCAGCAGAGCCCTTAGCCCCCGCCGTCTGTCATACATTTCAACCTAATGCAACGCTACACCGGCCACTACTCCCACACCATCACAACATGGAGGAACTGACGGAGGCGGAACGAAACCAAATCGGCCAGCTCTTCATCTGCGGCTTACGTAATGCCGAGCTCGACGACGACATTGCCGAGCTCGTCCGCACCTTCCGCGTCGGATCCATCCAGGTCTCCCTCAAGAACCTGCCGTCGCTGGACCAGGCACGCGAGCTCATCCGGGGCGTGCAGCAGCTGGCGTACGAGGCTGGACACGAGCAGCCCATGGCCATCTGCATGGATCAGGAGGGCGGAATTCTCAACAATCTCAAGGGCGTGACCCAGTTTCCGTGTCCCATGGCTCTAGCGGCC